AGAATGTTACACTGTATACAATTTTAAATAAAAAGTATACAAACATAGCCAGGATTCAGCTGTAAGCATTTGCAACACTTACAACATCAAGTAACATACATTCATGTAAAATGTAAGTTACTTGGCCAGTCAGTGTAATAACAGGAATGAATAAGTAGATAACTCCCTAATTCCCACGGTATTAGGGAGCTATCTACTAAAAGGCTGAAAGACCTGAATTGGTCTTTCAGCCAAATGTACTAATACTAAGTAAAGATTACGTAGTATTAGTAAATTATGCCCCTACTTGCTATACCGCGTGTAGGGACATGTCTATTAAATAGTGAACAGCCTGTGGCTGCTCACTGTAAAAAAAAAAAAAAAGTTCCCCCTCCCCCTCCAAACCTGAAGGGGGGGACCTATTGCCCCCCCAGCCCCCACCCCTGAACGGCGGGTCGGGGCCCTAAAGTAAAATAAGGGGGGGGACCTATTGTCCTCTCCTCGGCCCCCACCCATGAGCGGCGGGTGGGGGCTCTAAATACTAATTGGGGGGGACCTAATGTCCTCCCCCCTGGCCCCCACCCCTGAGCGGTGGGTAGGGGCCCTAAATTGGAATGAGGGGGAGGACCTAATGTACTCCCCCCTGGCCCCCACCCCTGAGCGTTGGGTGGGGCCCCCTAAAATACTAATTGGGGGGGAATTTTCCCACTCTTTGTAATTTGACTCATAACACTCTGATTTGTGGATTAAGTAACCAATCAGAGAGTTATGAGTCAAATTACACAGCGTGGGAAAATTCCAAAGAACTTTCCCACACTGTGTAAAATGACACAGAGCGCTCTGATTGGTGGATTTCAAACCAACCAATCAGAGTGCTGTGACAGGTAAATGTAGAGACTTACCTGTCAGTCTCTTCATTTACCTGTCCGAGCACTCTGATTGGATGGCTTAAACCCACCAATCAGAGTGCTCTGAGCCTAATTGCAGGGTGGGGCAAGGATTTATAAGCCTTCCCCCACCCTGCAGAGCTCAGTCTGCGCGGATCCCTCGCCGGGTGAAGATGGATTAATTTTTTTTGCGCTTTTTTTAATTTATTTTTTTAAGTGTGTCGGTTATTATGGCTTTTTATTTGACCTTTTTTGGGGCTGAAAAAATAAGATTTTAGAAGAAAGAAAATATCAAATGGTAAGTTTTTTTTTTTTTTTTCAGGTACTTAGTTAAATGGTCCCCCCTCATTATTTTTAGCTGAGGGTGGTAGGTAGGGGTTAATTTTGGGGGGGAGGGGGTTGACTAGGGGTTTGGGAACCACTAGTCACCTGGGGGAGAGGGGGTTATTTTTTTTTTTTAGGGCCCCCACCCACCACGTCGCGGGTGGGGGCTCGGGAGGGGGGACCCATATTTTTAATTATTTTTTTTTTTAACGGTGAGCAGCCACTGGCTGCTCAATGTTTAATAGACATGCCCCTACTAGCGGTATAGCGAGTAGGGGCACAATTTACTAAGACTAAATAATTTTTTGTAGATAACTCCATAATACCGTGGAAATTAGGGAGTTATCTACCAAGCGGCTGCAAGAGACGTTCTGAAATTCCGAAGTCCCGAATTGCCAAATTGCCGAGGTCCCGAAGTTCTGAAATTACCGAATTTCCGAAGTGTCGAAGTGTCAAAGTGGCCGAAGTGTCGTAGTGTCAAAGTCCCGAATTTCAGAATGCCGAAACTGAACCGAAAATTTTCCCATGCACATGCCTAGTTATATGTTTACTCCCGCTTGATGTCGCTTTCTGAAAGAGGAAATGATGAGGTCACTATGCCTTATGTACATCCTACTCTCTTGTAATTGATTCTTTTTTCTATGTGTTTCTTTGCTGCTGTGTGGAGTTAGTAAAGAGAGATTATGCAAAATACTCGCCTCCTGTCATTATTAAAATTTAGATTATTAGTACACTAAAGCTAACAATCTTCAATCATATTCAAAACCGGTTTACCACATGTAGTGTCAATGTTTTGGCCTCTTAAGTCTTTCTCAAGACAATGCTTACAGTATTGAAAAAAAAAAATAATATATGGTGAGAAAATAACTTACTGAAATCCATGACCAAGTGTAAGCAAAGCAAGACTTTTTACATTTTAAACTACAATAGCTGAACTGAAAGCAGAAGTCTTGGAAAAAATTTAAAATTCATCTATTTTGGCCTGAAATTTGAAATGGTGAACTGAAAAAAAAAAAATACACTTTGCTGAATAATCCTGTGTTGGAAGAGGTCCCATAGCCAACCATATATTGATCTGTTATATAGTGGAAATACATTTGAATTTGATCTCTTTATGTTTTGGTGCTTGGACAGTTACTTTAATAAAGCATCATGTGAAATCTGAAATAATTCGTATATTTGGAGACATGGGACTCTTGCCTCCATTTCCTGTTTTGGGCCCAGATATTGTGAGACGTTAACTGACATATGAATGACTAAACCTTTTATAGTCATAGGTAACAAGAGGAATGAGCTGTGCAAAAAGGCAGCGCTATCTAAACGGTTAAAGTAAATAAATCGCTTTGAACAAAGAACCTTGGTAAGTCACATTCTAATTCATTATTTACTCAAGTTTATCTCTTGACATCTGAATGTCAAAACTGCAATCGTTTTATGGTTGTATGCATCCAAGAATATTTTTAGCTGTTTGTACTGTAAACATAAAACGTTTTATTATTTCGCTAAAGGGTTTGTATCTGTTTAATTAAACAATAAAACCTCTAGCATTGTTTTACATTAAATTCTAGATTACAAATGGTAACAAATGACAAACTAGGAAAAGATATGTTATAAAGCCAACCTTACATGTGACACGGATTTCTAAATATGTTTTAGAACGACTGCAAAATATTGGATGACATTCAGATGTATAATTATGCAAATGCTTACCGTGATTACAGAAGCTGGATTGTAATAATGGGGTAAAAATGCAAAAATAAATTTTAAAAAAGTTGAATATTGCGAACATAAATGAACCTTAAATATTTTAACTACAAAAAAAGTTGCATTCCAACAATTAAATATTGTCTGTTTAGAGGTATTGGTTATTAATACAGTGGGACCTCAGTTTACGAATTTAATGCGTTCTCCAGGACATTTCTTATTGCGAAAAATTTGTGAACCGAAACGCGGTGTCCCATAAAAATGCATTAAAAACAAATTAATCCGTTCTGGAGGTCAGAAAAAAGTAAAAATGAGCTGGCATGGAAACCAACCCACAATGCAGAACACACAATAAAAGGCATGCAAACGACGAAGCTCAGCTCCCTACCTTTCCATAGCTTGAGAAATGCACCAAAAAGTCCCAAAACAACTGCAAACTATTTCCAGAATGGCTCCAACCCTCGATGCAAAAGCCGCTCCAACACCTGCACACTCGACGCCACGTGCTACCCACAGGCTCCAGCATGCAGGGGGCGGTGCTATAAACCTCCCAAGTGCAATGCATCCTGGGGAAACTTGCTTTGTATTGCGAAACAAATTTGTAAACCGAGGCATTATTTTCAATGGATTTTCATGTGTAAACCAAAATTATGTTAACCGAGGCGTTTGTAAACCGAGGTCCAACTGTATATAATTACCATATTTAGTTAGTTTAGACATATTATTTAATTAGATAATTAGCATATAAAGTGACTAGTCAAAAAGATACCTGCCCTCTATTCCAAACCTTATTTAAAAAAAATGTGCAATATTGTATGGTCATGAAGTGTAAGCTCACTGGCCAAAAGCCATAGCAAACCTTTAGCTGAGTCCAGCTCTGACAGTTCACGTAGCTACCTGTAGCTTACATACCTTCAGCCTCCGGCAGCTTCTCTAACGATACAGAAGAAAGTATTCGTATGAATCCCTACTAACAACTTATCTCTAAAAACAAAACACATGGGGGTGTAAGAGGTTTTTATTTGTTTTGTTCCTAATTGGTGCTGAGTACTAAGTAGTCCACACAGCTGCTCGGTAATGGTGGGATTTGGAGCACAAGGATAATATGTGTATTTAGTATCTTACAGCCTTGTTACAGTGGAGCCACTTACCCTGTGTTTGCCCTTTATAGAGTTAAAGGGATTCTATAGTGTAAGGAATACAATGTTGTAACAGAGCTTCCTGTTGGCTGCAGATACTAACAGAGCTCTGGGGAAACATGACGAGAAAAGAATGCACTCAGAAGATAGATCTGAATATCTAACACCAACAACTCCTTCGCCCTCTAGAGGAGCTCTAACACACTACATGAATAAAATAATGGTAAGTGAATATTAGTAAGCCAGTAATATTGGTGGGTGGCAAGGTATCTTAAGAGGTCCGTGCTTGGTGATATCAAAATGCTCTGCTTTCTTGCAGATATGATGCAAAGAGAATATTAAAGATATATTTTTATATTTTCCCCTGTGATTTGCAATGAAATGGCTTACAAAGAGTTGTAACAATGATTCCTGGACAGAATATAACGTCCGGTTGGGTTCTATTTTGAAGCAGTTTTCCATTAACTTTGTTTGGAAATCCATATATTCTCCTTTATCCAATGAGAACTTCCAAGAAGTTAAGAATAAAGGAATTAATGAGCGTTCTTTAAAAAGTAGAATATTGTAAACTTTACAGTCATACGTTGTAGCTCATCATATATGCTGCTAAACAGAATCGTATCTCTGCTATCTGGTACCCGGGCAAAAATGTAAACTGATACCAGGGTTGCCTCCTTTCTTGGAAGAAAATATGGATCATTCTAATTTGCATAATTAATTATATTTGGATCATATGATGTTATGTGGGGGGGGGACAAAAAAAATAGTAAGAAGACTATCCTAAATCAAATTCATATACACACACACATCCGTGGAGAGATCTGACTACCATTTCTGGGGTTGAGAAGGATTTTTTTTTTTTAGTATGTTGCAAAATTGGAAAGTCCTTCAAATTATTTGCCTCGTTTTGGATCAATAGCAAAAATTGATGTGAGGATAGCTGAATTTGATGGATGTCATTTTTTTTGTTCAGCCTATGTAACTATGACCCGCTGCTTGCAATGTCTGCCCTCAGACGGAATCTGCTGTGCAGGCTCTTGCCATGTGACAACTGCTGCTGGTAGGCAGCACCTGCTCTGGCAACCTGGGAGTGCTCTGTGTGCCGTCTGTCACACAGAGCAGACCACTCTCCTAGCCTCCCTTTCCCCCTTTCCCCCAGGTAAGGCAAGCTATCGCTGTTAAAGAGGTTTATTGGACAGACTAGATGGGCCGAATGGTTCTTATCTGCCGTCACATTCTATGTTTCTATTGGATATTGGGCTACTTGTAGCCATTTTTCCTTTCTTTCACTCAATGTGTCTATACATTTGTTATGGTGCTTAAAATGACCCTTTAAAAATCAACCTTTTAAACCATTTTGTTCCACATGCAGTTCTTACCTAGCAACATTGTCACTTCACATAAGATCCAGAATTCCCCTTAGAACGAAGTACAGCTCATTTCTAATCTACTATCATGACAAACTTGACCGTCGGTAAGAGTTGTCAACCATATGCATCTGCATCGCAATCCCACATTAATAAACTCAACACATTGTATAACTCGTTCTGCCAATTTGTGCTACAATGTAATTACAGGACCCACCATTGTGACATGCTAAAAGAACTAAACTGGCTGTCACTGGAATCCAGACGCACCCTTCATCTTTCCAGCCTTGTTTTTAAGAGCTTTTCTGGGAAACTCCCACCCTACCTGAACAAAATGCTTTCCTCGGCTGTTCCCACTTTCTATAAGCTCCGATCCAGTACAAGCACTTTACTTAGTCTACCTCAATACTAAAAGAAAGCGGCCCGATCCTCCTTCTCCTACAGAGCGCCACAATTATGGAACGACCTCCCGCACAATTTAAAATCTTCCCCAAGCCTAAAGTCATTTAAGAGATCCCTCTCTACATACCTCAAAACAGACTGCACGTGTCATGGTTGATTATATATTTCCTGCCTGTTCTATGTTAAATTTTGTATATATTGTGTATTAATATTGTTTTTGTATTTTGTTGTACCCTAATGTAACAATGCAATGATTTGCGGACCCAGGACATACTTGAAAACGAGAGAAATCTCAATGTATCTTTCCTCGTAAATTTTTTTATAAATAAATAAATAAATAAATATTATTTCCAAGACTTTGTTCATCTTTAATTTTTGTGGACAGTAAGATTACAATGTCCCCAGATGTTTACCTTTCAGTGAATCTTACTTTCCATTTTATTATATTAATAGGTACACCTTCTTTTTAAATGAAAATGTTCTTTGTACTTAAACAATGCACTGCAGGTATTCAAACACATCCATCCAAGGTTCCTCATATAAACATTCCGAGCACTATAGCCTATATATATTCTAGTAGTACTTATGGTTAAAGGGTGGCACAGATGTAGGCCATGCAGTTACTATCAAACCATTCTAAGCAGTTTGACAAACATTTTTCCATTCCCAGGGACCCAAAGCCTCCCTCCAATCAACTCCTGAATCAGTGATGTCATAATAAAGAAGATTCCATTGTCCATTATCCATCCAACTGGTTATTTACTGGGTTATTTACTATGCACCAAATTTTACTGAATTAAACCCAAATGGCAAAGTTGTGGCTAAATATCTGAGCTGAAACAGCGGCTAAGTTGGAGACCTTTTCAAAATCAGCTATTTTCGCCTCTTTTTTTACCATTTGGATTCAATTTGATAAAAGTCAATGTCTATTTAATAACCCCGTGTTCATCATGTAATGGAAGGTTTTAACATTGGATTACAGGATGACGCAGTTGCATCAGATTGCAGAATCACCAATTTGACTAAATAAGCAGTATTGGTTATGATGGTCGGAGGGTCCCTTTAATATACAGTAGCAGATTATATATGTACATACATATAAACGTAATGCACTGTCATTTATTTCAGTAGAATTTGATAAACAGAGAAATATAAAATTGACTCCACATGGTTCTTAACAATGACTTACACAGAATTCATTGTTTATGAGAGCTGTAATTTCCACCAGGTGTTGGGCTTTGATTAATCAAAACAATAGTTGTTCTGTTGCTTGGTGTAATCAAGCTTAAATTGTGTAACTTTCATTGTGCAATCTATATTTATTACCTTTTCTAAAACGAAGAAACAAAAAAAGGAGTATTGTGAGTGGCATATGCTGTGCATTCATTAAATGGATTTAGCCAATAGTTTGCATATTTTTTGTTTTCTATATTCTGGAATATATTTATTTTTATAGAACTTTATGCTACTAAAGTTAAGAAATCATTTGGGTACAGAAGCCAGGAAAGTGGAGCTCATTAAACATGTTACCATCCTGGTAGCTTGGTGAATGAATAACAAGATGGTTATTAGACCTGTATTTTTTTGATACAGGGCAAAAAAAATTGAAAACTAATTTAGTTGGCAGAATTTTGTTGTTTTGCTTGTCCAAATGACACCCATGCAAACAATTAATGAAAACCTCTCCGGACAAACCAAAAGAGTGCAGAAAATGAGCCTATAACTGTACTGAAAAATATACCCATAATATTTATATAGTTACATAGGCTGGAAATAGTCTTGCAGCCATCAAAATCAGCCTTTCCCACACTCAATTGCTGTTTAAAAATCTGATTCTGATAAAACCACTTCTTCAATATTCTTACTGTAAAGAACCCTTTCCTTTGCCTTAGACTAAATCTCCTTTTTTTCCAGTCTAAATGGGTGACCTCGTGTATTTATTGCATAATGATATCATATTCCATTTGAGGCAATGTTTTCCTTAACAAAATCGATTTAAAATCTTTCTTTTACCTTTCACATTCATTTTGCTGGCCACCTCTGTACTTTTGCTAGTGCCATTATATGCTTATTTAGAACAATAGTGTACATTGCACAACGTATTCAAGGTGTGGTCTTATCATTGATTTATTAAGAGTAAACATTATATTTCATCCCTAGAATTTATAAATGGGAAAACCTTATTGGCCTTAGCAACTGCCAATTGACATTGGACATTGTTGCTTACTTTGTTGTCTATAACAATTCCCAATTCCTTCTCAGTATTTCAATGCCAATTTCAAGATCATTTTATACATATGTTAAATAGAAGTGTTCTTTGAAATGTACTATTAATGACATATATTATGTATGTACATATTTATTTTTTGCAATGCATGGTAGTCTCATTTGCAGGCCCTTTTAATTAAGCTAATTCTGGTAATTTACCATTCAAAGTTGGTCTACATTCCGTCAATATTTGCATTTTAGATTGGTTTAGATTGTTTTAGATTGGTTACTTTTGAGCATGCAGTTGTGTATTTAAAGAGTTTAGTCTGTCTGAAACCTGGTTTATTTCTTTATTATTTCTCTTATTTTGGCGCCACAGACAGACCATCGAATCATGAAGCAAACAAACCTATATTTCTTTGTGATATGGCTCGTTGAAGTTCCAGGTTTTTGAGGATCTGCTGATATGCCAAAACCCAGACGATTTGCAATTGGTTTGAAATCAAATACACAAGTCTCATGGGTTTAGAAAAAAAGTGCACCCCCCTGCCATTTAAAGGAGACACAAACAGGGAAAATCGGTATAGTACTCAATTTTTTTTAGTGCTGCACACCGTTATAACAAACCTAACCTAAAATAGTGATGGACAAATGTTAGATCTTCTGTTGCCAAATCCTTAATCTAGCAAAGGATCATGGGATATGTAGTTCTACTATCAGTGGGTGGGGGGTAATTGTATTTTATAAAGGATTCTTTTATCTGGCTCTTTACAAGTCAAAGGGTCGGGAGGTTTATTTATTTACACCGTTCTGTAATCATATACCAGCTGTAGTTACTGGTTAGACACTTTTCTTTGGTCCTAGTTGTCCTTGTGATACTGCTCAATTAATGTCCAAGCATTACCTTTTTCCTGCACATCCGACTATGGAAAGTATCAGTGTGCACGGATTACATTTTGTTCAAAAACTATCCAAAGGATGTCTTTTTAATGTATCCGATGTGCTTCTAGCGTCGTACACCGGAGACAGAATCCATGTTAATGGATTTTACCCCCTGCCTGTTAGACAGAAAGTGTGTTTACATCAGTGAAAATGTATTAATGTGTTTGCTAAATCACTTCAACGCAAGGAAACAAGACCTAAGAGGAGTGTTTAGTGAGCACAATTTAATTCCTCTGCTCGAGCAGTGTTTGCACGGTTTAATCAGGGAAAATCCAATCTATGGCAAGCACAGAAAAACACACAGCATGTCCTGTGTGTAGGCAAGGCTAGAGCCCTGGGCGGCCACAAGGTCACCTACTGAAATCCAATGTTTTACCAACAAAATACTTTATCACTGCAGCATAGACATAGAATTAAATGGAGAGTTGGCTTAAGTAACTGCTGCTGATCCTTCTAGTATAAGAATGCATGTGTGCAGAGGGAGCACTTCAGAGGCTTCTCGTTGAGAGAAAGTCTCTTCCAGGTTAGCAAAGGCTGCAGTTCCAACTATTGTAATATATATATAATGCATGCATGTATTCATTGGGAGTATATCTACTAAACAGTGATTTATATTTTCCCAAATATGGTCAGTGGAGTGTTCACATAGACAGGTTTATGCACTAAAGTCAGAATTCACAGTGAATTTGAAATGTAAGTTTAAATTAACATAACTGGGAATATTATCTGGGAAGTCAGTTATGCTTTCATTTCTGCTGTAGTGGCCTTAAGTTTGAAATTCACTTTGAATTCTCACATTAGTAAACAAACAAGATAATTTTTCGTAGATATCGAACCATTCAGGAAAACTCTCCCATAGACTGCATTTGATTTTTATTAAAATCAATCAAAATATATGACAATAATGTTGAGACTACATTGGTAGTATTGAGAGGGCAGATCTGAGGAAGCCAATTGGATCGGCAAGACATATCATTCTGAGTGATGTCATAGCCCCGCCTACCGGAACCAGAGTTGCGAGTAAGGGGTTCAGAGCCGGCAATTGAACCGAATAGTGCTCAGAGCACTCCATCTATGGGGACTTGATTTCCTGAATGTTATGTTAAACCTCTCCCTATTTTAATTAATAAAGATTAGTGTTAAAAAGCTTCTGCCTGGTGGATTCCATGTAAGATACTTACCCAAGTTATTTATATTGAGCATCAATAGCCTGAGCAGTTTTCACCTGCTTTCTGTTTGTGAGTGTGCACACATTTACGCATGTGTT